ATCTTTACAAGTGGCAGCCATTTTGGATTTTAAAGTGATAGCATTCTCATTTGGATTCCAGGGACCTAAGAATAGGCTCTGTTTACCAAGGTCAGCAGGGACATACAAGAGACTGACAACAGGAAAGGAGACAGGTGGTGAGTGTATAAGTGCTGTCAACTAGTGAATAGAGGAGCACAGCACTCTGTTTGTGTAGATAACATACAAACAAAACAAAGTAAAGGAAAATCCTGGGCAAGTCACTCCAACATACAATCACCAATTAAATATAAACACAAAAATGTCACAATGCCTCAGAGACAGCAGAGCATCACAGTCCACACAAAGAAGCAAGATAAAGCAGGAGAAACAAGGGACCAGGATACAGACCCAATACATCCCTGAGGAAGATGCACCATTGGAACCTGCTGATAATGAATTCAAAAGAATTATATTTAGGTATCTTCAACAATTTGAGAGGCAGACCAAGGAAAAACACTGAAAAAATTGAGGAAAACACAGAGAAAACCCTATGACAATTTTGAAAGACAATACAAGAACAAAATGACAAATGAAAAATTAGAAATAATACAAAATCTACACACAGAAATCCAGAAGATTAATACTAAATTTTCAGGACTAGATAAGATATTGAATGGGCAAAGCAGCAGAATTGGGTCAGTGGAAGACAGAATTAGTGAGATTGAAGGCAAATACCTGAACCCTTCTTCAGAAAGGGATAAATCAGAAAAAAGATCAAAACAAAATGAAGAAAGCCTAAGGCTCATGTGGGATACCATCAAAAGGAGTAACCTATGTGTAATTGGAATTCCAGAACAGGAAGAGACAAATAAAACCACAGAGAAAATTGTCAAAGATTTGTTGAGAGAGAATTTTCCTGGTATGATGAAAGATGAGAATATATCTATTCAGGAAGTCCAGCGAACTCCAAACAGGATAGACCCCCAAAAGAAAATCACTAAGGCATATCATCATCAAACTCACCAAAACCAAAGACAAAGAAAGAATCCAGAAAATAGTATGGGAAAAACAAAAAGTTACCTACAAGAGGCAACTGACAAGACAGCTTGGATTTCTCAGCAGAAACTATGCAGGTGAGAAGACAATGGGATAGTATATATAAAAACTTGAAAGAGAAAAATTTCCAACCAAGAATTATACCCAGCAAAATTGTCCCTCACATATGATGGTGAAATTAGGACATTTCCAGATAAGCAGAAATTAAGGGAATTTATTAAAACCAGACCAACCTTACAAGAGATGCTGAAGGGAATCCACTGGACAGAGAAGCAACAACAGCCAACAACAGCTGACTATTAACACACATGATGATATAACCCAGAAACCAACACAGCTATGGAAGTATCCACAGTAAATAAGCCTACAGGACTGTCAACAGGGAACCAGAGACATCAATTGACAAATGAGGACAACTAAAAACCAAAAAGAGGAACAAAAGCTGTGTCATTACAGAACTTCTAGATGGTAGGGAAGTTAAGACAACTACAAGATAGAACAGACTGTTCCAAACTTGGGAAGAAAACTATAAATCACAGGGTAACCCAAAGAAAAATTATAAACCTTCACATCAAATCAAAAAGAGGACCAGCACAAATATTTAGCAAATACTAAAACAGTAGCAACAAAGGAAGTGATAACATGATTCATAAACAAAATGAGCTCAGCATAGAAAATTATATGGAACAAAGAAATCGACCCCACGAAAAAACACATAACAAAAATGACAGCAACAAATTCATATTTGCTGATAATTACGTATCTTGCAAGGGACTCATCTCTAGGATTTATAGGAAACTCCGACACCTCAACACCAAAGGAATTAATAATCTAATTGAAAAATGGGTGGAAGACATGAATAGACTCTTCACCAAGGAGGATATTCAGGTGGCCAGCTAATACGTGAAGAGATACTCACAATCATTGGCCATCAGAGAGATGCAGATCACAACAACGAGATACTGTCTCACCCCAGCACTGATGACAAGGTTCAACAAGACAGAAAATTACAAGTGCTGGTGGGGATGTGGAGAGATTGGGACTCTAATACACTGATGGTGGGACTGTGGAAAACAATATGGCGATTCCTTAGAAAGCTGGAATTGGAAATACCATTTGACCCAGCAATCCCATTATTAGGTATATATCCTAGATAGGTGAGAGCCAGGACAGGAACAGATATATGCACACTCATGTTCATTGCAGCACTATTTACAATAGCAAAAAGATGGAAACAACCTACATGCCCATTAGTGGAAGAGTGGATGACCAAACTATGGTACATACACATAATGGAATGCTATACAGTAGTAAAGAATAATGTAGAGTCTGCAAAACACCACATAATATGGATGAACTTGGAGGACATGCTGAGTGAAATAAATCAATCACAGAAGCACAAATACAATATTATTAGTTCATTGTTGTGGAGGGTCAAGGAAAGGTTTACATATGGAGGGAAACTTGCTTTGTTGGTTGCCCGGGGTGGGAGGGGAGGGAAGGGAATGCTGCAAAAAAACAAAAGAAAACCAAAAAAAAAAAAACTTAAAAAGAGTAACATCTTGCTTTTAAAATAAATCCCACAGTGGAACTCTCCCTTGTTGGGGGGAAAATAAAAAGCTTGCAAGTAGCTATGTAGATGCAATGATGGTTCTCTCCTCATCCAGAGCAAAGAAGAATGAAGAAGACCAAAGACACATGGAAACAATTAGTCCAAGTGACTGGTACACCATGTGATCCTCTGCCTATATGACTATGAGACCAGAGGAACTAGATGGTGCCCAGCTACCACTGTCAACCACTGGAAGGGGGATCTCTGTAGGAGGTCCTGGATAGAGAGGGAGAACAATGTGGAACAAAATTCAAAATCATTTTTAAAAAAAAAAAAA